AGATTCCTAAAACCGGAAGAAATTCAGAAAACTTCCGGTGTATCCCTCCGCTTATTGTATGCTTACGAGGCGTTGTGTTAACAGGCTTAATATTCTAGAAAGTTTTATTGTTGTAATCTGTGTTTTAATTTACGCGTAATTTTATCATTTATAAGAGTTTTCTTTTTAACTGGTGGTGAGTCTAAAACTAATTTAATTAAATTAATATCAAAACATAAATGAAGTGTAAGGTTTGCCCTGTTTTGAGGCTATCCCTTATTTGGCTACAGCTGTGCAAAATATCACCGTTTGTAATTTTTTGGGTTACATCATAGCATTCTTGCGGAGTGATCCGAATTCATTTGTTGTTTGTTTCGTTGAAATTTGAATTGAACGAACGTGTTAACACTACAAGTATAATAATATTGGATGACGTGCTTTTTCAAGTTTAGACGTAAAATTTAATCCGAAGTAGTAATTCGTAAGTCTTACAACGAATTCTAACCCCTAGCGCCATCTGTGTTTAGTTTTATACAGTCAACCAACCAGGTCCCATTTACCGGCTTGTTTTATGCTAATTTTATATCACACCTTATTTTATTTGTTGTTTTTTCCCCCCTCTATTTTTACTTTTTTTTCCAGTTTACTTTTATTTTAGTATATCAAACATTTGCACCTACTTCATCTTTCTAAACATTTTATTTCGAAAAAAGAAATAGCACTACTTTATGTTCCAGCGAGAGACGTTTACTCTCTTTTGTTCCTAAACAAGACTTTATTTTAATTTTTGATGCTTTTTTCAAGATGGCGGACGAAAAACGCAGTTTGATCACTCAGATTATTCTAGACGTTTAGTAAGCTAAGTAGATACCAAAAATTCACTAAATATTTGAAGCTCCGTTTTTGTGGGAATTAGTTTTCTACCCAAAACACTATTTATCCGCTATTATATAGATACCACAGGGGATCAGAATGAGCTGAAGTTGATATAAATACCTACCTCATCAACAGAGGGCATGGATGATATCAATCATAAAATTATGTAATTGGTAACTTAAATAGCAACGAATCGAAATGGAAGATTTGGGTAACAACTGTGACTAGCATATTTGTTTCGTTTATATTTTTATTTAATTTGATTTTTATTTATTTTGATTTTTATTTATTTTGATTTTTATTTAATTTGATTTTTATTTAATTTGATTTTTATTTAAATTTGGACTTTTTCATTATTGCACCATTTTACTCTAAATCATCGCAGTAAAAAATATGAAAAAAAAAATAGTGCGAAGAGTCCCTCTGCGCGGAAGAAGTTAAACTTCACAACCTGCGACGTTAATTGTAGAAGAATCAGCAGTCGTAGACGGATCACTATTCAACGACTCTTTTTCCTGCTCCGCTCGCTTCCATGCTCTGTAATCACGGTAATATTGTGCATTTTTCCCTCGTGGACCTCTTGAACCAGTGGAAGTGCTTGTGGTTGCCTCATCGTCTCGCCCTGGAAAATGTATTTGTATTAATAATGTATGTGAATGCGTCATAATGTAATTTCAGAAGAGAAAACCTAACAATCAATTGATATTCACAAGAGACGTACCTTGACATAA